CAGCACGCCCAGGTTCCATTCCCACTTGCACTTGAGCTTCCTGTTCACACTCACTCAGGAGGCAACAGGTGATGGCCCAAGTGGGAGGCCCACACTGAGTTTCACCCTTCTGACCACCAGCCGGCTCTGCCCCACCCGCTGTAGGCATTAGGGGAATAAACAAGCAGGGGACAGACCTGCTGTCTTCCTTCCTCTCAAAAAGATCTGAGTCCTGACTGCTCCTGGGAAAACAGCTGGTACAAGCCACCAGCCAAGGGAGCCGCATTCAGACCCCCCCAGGGCACAGCCCACTGGGACTGCAAAGTGCCAGCATTCAGACCCCCCAAGGCACAGCCTATAGGGACTGCAAAGTGCCAGCATTCAGACCCCCAGGGCACAGCCCACTGGGACTGCAAAGTGCCAGCATTCACACCCCTCAGGGCACAGCCCACTGGGACTGCAGAGTGCCCCCCTGCATTCACACCCCTCAGGGCACAGCCTACAGGGACTGCAGAGTGCCCCCCCTGCATTCACCCCCCCCCCCAGGGCACAGCCTACAGGGACTGCGGAGTGCCCCGCCACACCCCTACCAGTTCCCCGGCTGGGTGCTCATGAGCCTGTCACTCCCCAACCCTGCCCTGCCACACCCCTACCTTCCCAGGCTTCCCCTGCTGGGTGCCCACTCTCAGTCCCCTCCCCGCCACACCCCTACCTGAGCCTACGCTCAGATCTGCAGCGGCCTGCATGATGATGATGGTCCTTCTGGCCCGCCTGCCAAGTCCCTCGCGCTCTCTGCGCCTCCCTTCGTCCAGGTGAATCCGCCACCAGCGGTCTCGAGGCCTTCTCAGTGTCACCTCCTCCTTCTAACCATCAGCCGTACCTCTTGACCTTGGCCTTTGAACCCTGATCAAGTCCACCAAGCTAAACTTGAGTGACACTGACCAGCCTGCAATAACTCAGACACACCAAGTTCTTCTCTGCCTCGGGGCCTTTGCACATGCTGCGCCCCCGTGCCTGGACCACTCCCGCCACCTGCTCCAAGGCCCGACTCACGCATCACATCCTCGGTGGACAGGACTTCCAAGTACTGCCTCTTGGCAGGGTTTGTTCGGTGTGATCTGTAAACTCCATGGATACGCTCCTGCATTGGCCATCACACCTCCAGGTGACCCTCCCCAGGCGTCCTGCACTCCCAGTCCCATGCTAGCTCATCTGCCCTGCCTTCCCGCCCCCAATCCAAGGCAGCCACTGAGATCACCTGGAGGAGGAGTCCATATCCCTGGCACCGGGCACTGTCTGGCCACAGCAGGATCTCCACCACACAGTCACCAAGCGAACAAATCACAAGGCCTGAGAACATTTAAAGCTTACAAAAACTTTCTTCCGGCCCAGCACGGTAGCCTAGTAGCTAAAATCCTCGCACACCCCGGGATCCCATATAGGTGCTGGTTCATGTCCTGGCTGCCCCACTTCCCATCCAGCTCCCTGCTTGTGGCCTGGGAAAGCAATCAAGGACCGCCCAAAGCTTTGTGACCCCGCACCCACATGGAGACCAGGAAGAGTTTCCTGGCTCCTGACTTCATATCGGCTCAGCTCCTGCCATTGCGGCCACTTGGGAAGTGAACCAGCGGATGGAAGATCTCTGTCTCTCTTTCTCTCTGTAAATCTGACTTTCCAATAAAAATAAGTCTTTAAAAAAAAAACCTTTCATCCAAGATCAAGTGACAGTCAAAAACTGGAGGGAGGGGTATGCGTGTGTGTGCAGAGAGAGCAACAGCTGAGGTTGACATATGTTTTTCAGAACTTTAATTTTCTATCAAAGGAAAGAGAATGAAATAATCTTGTATTCATTTCCTTTTTATATAAGAGCAACTCAAAACCACTGGGCATAAAAAAAAAAAAATGAAGCTCTACAGTGTGGCAAAGAGAGAAGAGAAGGGTGGGGCCCTGTGCCTGGGGAGGGGTAAGGCTGCTGCGGTGAGGCCCCAAATAGCAGCAGATGCAGAGGCAGACAGCAGCGGTGCAGTGAGGCTCAGTGGCATCCAGGCAGGGCTGGCCAGGCGCAGGGCTCTGCGGGAAGGAGGCAGCCACATAGCCAGGCCGCTACCACCACGGCCTGGGCCGTGGCAGCCGACATTGCAGCATCCCCACTATTTATTCTAAAAATTGGCATCCCAGGACCAGCACTATGGTGAAGCAGGTAAGCCATCTCCTGCATGCGGGTGCCGGTTTGTGTCCCGGCTGCTCCACTTCCTATCCAGCTCCCTGCTAACGCCGTGAGAAAAACAGCAGAGAACAGGCCAAGTATTGGGGGCCCCTGCCACCCGCGTGGAAAACCCAGACGAAGCTCCTGGATCCGATCCAGTCCTGGTAGTTGTGGCCATCTGGGGAGTGAGTCAGCAGACACAATGTCTCTGTCACTCCCTCTCTCTGACTCTACACATCTTTGAAAATATTGGCTTCCCAAGGCCAGGATCAGGGCCTTGGCAGGGATTACTGTGTTTTGCCTGGAGCAAGACACAACACGTCCCAGTGGCTTGGAGACAATCCTCTACCTTTTTTTTAAAAAAAAAAAAAGATTTTTATTTAATTAATTTTTTATTGTGAAGTAAGATATAGAGAGAGGAGGAGAGACAGAGAGGAAGATCTTACGAGCACTGATTCACTCCCCAAGTGGCCACAACAGCTGGAGCTGAGCCAATCCGAAGTCAGGAGCCTCCTCTGGGTCTCCCACGCAGGTGCAGGGTCCCAAGGCTTTGGGCTGTCCTCGACTGCTTTCCCAGGCCACAAGCAGGGAGCTGCCAGGATGGGAAGCAGGGCTGCCAGGACACGAACCAGCACCCATATGAGATCCCAGTGCTCTCAAGGCAAGGACTTTGGCCACTAGGCTTACCGTGCCAGGCCCTAGCTGGTGTCTTTTGAGGCCAAGGCTGTGCATATTTGAATTGTGCACTGGGTTTTCAAAACGGGAGGCACAGGAGGCTTGGAGTGTGAAGTTCAAGCCAAGGGCAGCAGGTGTCTTGCCCCCTGGAACCATCCACGGCCCCAGCCTGCAATGAATGGGAGGAAAACCCCTTCTGACATCTGGGTCACCCAGTTTGCTCCCAGCAGAGCTGTGCGGCCATGGCGGTACTTGGGCCCCTCTCGAGCTCTGCCTGCTCTTCCTCCACCTCGGTTTCATTTCTGAGCAGGGCCTCCTCACAATAGGCCAACAGGGAGGGACACACTCACCGCTCAAGGCCAACCGGCACCTTGAGGATGAGGATTTGGGTTCCAGTAAGCAGAGGACGGGGCTAGAATGGGAACAGCATGTAAAGTGTGGGACGAGGCAGGCAACAGGTGTAGGCGTTTTTCTATGCGGCTTTCTCAGAAGAAGCAATAGGGCAAGCAGGGCAGGCAGGGAAAGTGGTCTACAGGAAGTGTGGCAGTGACCTTCAGAAGCTTTCCTGCCCTCACTGTAACCTGCCCCTTCACGCCACGTGCCATAGCTGTATTCCACATTACTAAGTCAATCTCTCCCTCCCCGACCCCAGCCCAGGTGCCCTGTGCAAGAGAGGCCCTAGCTTCTTTCCTCCTGTGCAATCACAGCAGGTACTCGACAAACACTTGCAGAGCGGATCCACCTGCCAAGAGAGTTCACCGAACAGAAAGTCAACCTCTCCAAGGTCTCCGAGAAATTTCTCATCCTGGTTTTATACAAAATCCCAGGGATGTATCCCTTTCTCTAATCCACTTTGGAAAAAAAATTTATGTTTCTAGGAAAGCTTTGATTCAAAAAGTTTCCTCTGAGGCAGGAAGTCTCCCATCCTAATAAAGAAAAGCCAGGATTGCAGCTCTCTGCTAAAGTGCCTGGAAGACCGCGTAAGTGCTTGGAGTCCTGCATGCACATGGGAGACACAGCAGCAGCTCCCACAGCCCAGAGGCTCTGCTCTGTTCAGGAGGTACCGTCTCGATGCCAGAACACAGCCAATAAGTACAAGACAGCAAAGTGATTTGTCATCAAGAGAAAAAAAAATCAATGAACAGCAGCAGTGTCCAACGTGGCCGAGGCGTGGGGTTTGGGAAGAGCCATTTTGTTAGCTCCTAGTTCTGGCTGCCACACACATCCTCCACCAGGGCAACACACCAAAGCACCATGCAGGTTTGGGGATTTCTATTTGCTGCTCAGATTTCACAGCTTTGAAGTGCATGTTCAGGAAACGGTCAAGAAATCGCATTTCTGAGAATCACTGAAGAGGGAAAGAGCCCAGCTCCTCACACAATGCTTTCACTTAAAGGCACGGACACACCCCCCACCCTAAAAAAGTCTCATTCACCTCATGATACTGAAGGTTCCAGCTGGCTAGTCTGTAGGTGGTTCCTGGCTAACCAGACTACACAATTAAAACTACTTCAACTCTATTTTGAAGGCAGAAAACACTGCATGACTCAATTTATTTTGGAAAACAAAAATGGGGATTAAGCTGAAAGCAATCAACATAAAAGATATTAACAAAAATTAGGAGCAAATGCTTAGGCTTAGGGCATAAAGTAAAAATCTTTTAACAACTCTTAGTATAAACTACAGGTACTCAGCTGCACAGTACTGGAGAATGACCGTGAGCAGGAAAAAGAAAAACCTGAAAATACTTATCGCAGTTATGGTAGGCAGCTCACGCGCCATTTTAACTTCTTATTTTTCTGTGTTTTACAAGAGTCTTCTGCTTCCCCCCAGTGACCTCTTACCTGAAACCTAGGACAATGACTTCAGGTATCTTCTGCAAACACAGACATCTCAGCACAACCTAGGCGCTAATCCATCAGAAAAACAAGAAAAGGAGCATCCTGCACACAAACGCCACGACTACCTTCATCCAGTTTAGGAAGACTTTCTCCTCTGCATTCGTTTCTGATGCCAATTCAAGCTCCAGGGACCCATCCCTCAGAGGAGGTAGAGGCGGAGACAGTCCAACAAATGACAGCTTAGCAGAAGTCGGTCACCTTGCAACAGGCATGGCACATAGAAGAACTCAAGTTCATACCTGAACCACAGGGTGGCCTCCGGTTGGAGCTTTGACGGCCCCTCGGCTGCCCTCCGTCTCATAGTGTGCCCGGTGATGCGGCTTGGGCTGCACCTCGATCCGTAGCTCATAGGAGCCCGACTGGCTGGAGAGTGGCCACTCCAGTGGAGGGAGGGACGCAGTCACCGGGATGCTGCAGCGGGAAATGGAGACAGTTGTCAATCTGCACAGCAAATGTAAATGGCTCCTTTTCTGAGAACTGTGTCCAGTGGACACAAGCACAAGACAATGGACATTCAGGAAGCACATACATCTCAGACATGATGCAGGGGCCCTCACTGTCACTGCCTTGTCATGTGACTCCAAACAAGAACTTCATTCCAGTTAGCCACAGTCCCCTACAACCACGTGGCAAATGGGCCAGATGGCATCTGAGGGCCATAACAGCTCTCACCTCTATGCGTAATAATCTCAGAAGTATATTTTGGGGAGCCTGGTACAGTAGCCTAGTGGCTAAAGTCCATGGCTTGCAAGCACCAGGATGCTATATGGGTGCTGGTTTGTGTCCTGACAGCCCCACTTCCCATCCAGCTCCCTGCTTGTGGCCTGGGAAAGTAGTAAGGGATGGCCCAAGTCCTTGGGACCCTGCACCCATGTGGGAGACCCGGGAGAAGATCCTGGCTTTGGATCGATTCCGTTCTGGCCATTGCGGCCACTTGGGGAGTGAATTAGCGGATGGAAGATCTTCCTTTCTGTATATTTGACTTTCAAATAAAAATAAATAAATCTTTTTTTTAAGTGTATTTGGGGACAGACATGGGCACAGCAGTTAAGATGTCCCTTGCGACACCTCCTTCTATGTCAAAGCAACTCAACTCCAGTCCAGGTTTGGTTTCTACATACACCTGGCAGGTAGCAGGTGATGGCTCGAACACTCATTCAGCCTGACCCAGCGCCAGCTGCTGCGGACATCTGGGAACCGGTGGAGAAAAGTCTCTGTCTTTCAAATAACAATTACTAATTAAAGTGCATCTTGGGGGGACACCATTTTGCAGTCACTATCAGGTCAAGTGTTGAGCGTTAAGCCTCCGAAAGGGGCCTAGTTTTGGTAGAGGTGAGACAAAGCTCTCAAGACTCCCTGAATGGAGTGGCGAGTAAACGTTGCTACCTCAACTCAAGTTACACACTCAAGTTCAAGTCCCAGCTCCGACCCTCTGGGTGACTTTGAGCAAACACCCGTCTCCCTTGATCTTCGTCTCTTTTAGAGTGAAATGAGAACGTTCAGACCATATAAAGAGCCTAGCACGGTAAGGGCCCAGTAAGTACGAACCACAATAACTTCCTCCTGCACTGTAACGAGCATTTCCAATCAGCAGGGATTTCTCATCACCTCTCTGACTTAGCTGTGGTGTTCCAACTCTCACATAGGAGGTGTCAGGCTGTGGGGGTAGGCATCCGTTTTCATTTTTTATCACAGTATAGGAACTTAGCATAAAGGACGGGGACTTGGCGCGGGCTTAGAATTATGTCACTGGAGAGCCAGCTGGGGCTTTGAAGATCTGGTCTGCACTGTTCCTTCATGTCTCAGAGATGTGTCCCCAAGTCACAGGGCAAGGCAGGATCCAACTCTTGCCTCCAGACTCCACGCCAAGTGCACCACTCATAGCTTCATACTGTTTCCTTAAAACAGACCCAAGCAAAGAACTCACTCATGGGGTGACTCTGCCACCATCCCTGAAACATGGCGGCTTTTCAGTGGTGATTCAGCAGGGAGATGGTGGTGTGGATGAGGATTAAACGCAGGAAGGACATTCCAAGAAGCGCTGCATAGTCAAAGTGGCTTTGAGGTTGCAGGTGCATGGATCCATGTCACAAGTGGCAGGAACTATGAATCAGAATGTCTTCTCCCACTCAGCTGAGGGCTGCTGGCTGCAGATGGGCTCAGCCGGGTTCAGCTGAGGGCTGCTGGCCGCAGATGGGCTCAGCCGGGTTCAGCAGAGGGCTGCTGGCCGCAGACGGGCTCAGCCGGGTTCAGCAGAGGGCTGCTGGCCGCAGACGGGCTCAGCCGGGTTCAGCTGAGGGCTGCTGGCCACAGACGGGCTCAGCCGGGTTCAGCTGAGGGCTGCTGGCCGCAGATGGGCTCAGCCGGGTTCAGCTGAGGGCTGCTGGCCGCAGATGGGCTCAGCCGGGTTCAGCAGAGGGCTGCTGGCCGCAGATGGACTCAGCTGGGTTCAGCACTGGGCGGCCCTCGCCAGCAAGCCGGTTCCGTCTGCTGACAGTGGCTGGGATCCTCACTCATCTCTTTCCTGCCCCTCTGCTCCCTCAAGCCCCCTTCCCAGATGGTTTTCAGGCATCCCGATGGCCTTTAGTTCCACTTGGCCTTCAGGATTCCGCTTGGAGCCAAGAGGCCTCAGTGTTAAACATTCATGCCTGTATCATGTTTGTATGTTAAAACATTGGAGTTTGAAAACAAGACTCTTTAGCCCTGTATCAAAAACTACAGTAGGTAGAAGGCCCAGTGAGATACTGCCGGTTTCCACTCAAAATGTGATTTGGTTCTGAACAGGAGGTTTCACCGTGAAATGCAGTCTTCAGAATGGGACCGTCACCTGGGAAAGTAGCAGACATTGCCCCAAGTGTCGGTCTGTTGGGACCCTGCCATCCACTCGAGATGGAGGTGAAGCTCCTGGCTTCGACCCAGCCCAGCCCAGGACATCGCATCCACTTGGGATGTGACTCAATGGGTGGATAACAAACTCTCGTGTTCAGACCGAGCTGCCACGGCAGGAAGGATTTCAGAAACATCCAATCTCAGACCCACACACCTCAAGCCTGCTGCTGAAATGTCTATTTTCATCTCCCTGAAATACAGAGGGATAAAGGAGCCTGAGAAGCCCAGATCTAAGGGGAGAGCAAAGTCTCCCAACTCCTCTCCTAGTAAGACTGGTGGGAGAGCAGCCGCCGTCTGCCTCTGCACGCCCCCATCTCCTTGTCACCAAAATGAAGAAGTGATAGCAAGCCTGTCGTGGGGGGCTGTTGTGGAGATTCAATAAAATGACAGATCCAGGGCGTCAGAACAATGTCCATCCCTCAGCAAGCACCCTAGCCAGTGGAGGCAATCCTGGAGCACCGCCCCAGGGTCTCGGCAAGCCAGCTCGGTCTCCTTGCACAAGGCTTGTGATGGGGAATCCTTTGATGGAACGCTCCCATTCCTTTCCTCAAAGCTCACTCTGTGCAGGTTCTGTGCTGAGGGCTTTGCAGATTGCTCCTAATCTCTGAAAGTACCTCCCCCACAGGCAGGCACCGCTATCATCCTCAACTCACAGCACAGGAACCAAGGCCAGCAAAAGGCTCATAACAACGGGTGATAGGTTAGTGACACCTGCCTGGGCCTGGCCTCAAAAAGCTGCTGGATGAGAAAGAATCTTGACTGATTAGCGATGTCTACCACAGGCACAGCCTGAGACCGACAGGAGCAGAGGCCATTCTGGGAGTTCCCCAATGCCTGTCCATTGTCGCCGACATGTACCTGTTCAACTTGCCCAGATCCAAGCTCCCAGGGGTTCGTGCCTCACGCACTACCTATTTTTCCATGGGCCTCCGTCAAATCACTTGGCACTGAGAGCCTCTTAGGAGGTGGAAGAGTTCCCCAGAGCAGAAACATTCTTCACTAGCTCCTGGCACCTGTGAAACAGAGGCTGGCATACAACAGGTGCGTCCTGTGTACTTGCTGTGACTGAAGGGGTACAGGGAATAACACACGAGCGACCCAGTTACTGTGGGACTGAGTCAGGTGCATTCATCCTGCCTACCTTACAGGTGAGGAAGCTGGGAACAGTCACTCCCCTTCTCAGGGTATCACAGCCAGCCAGCAGCAGAGCCAGGATTGAAACCCAGGATTGAAACTCGGCACCAGAAAAGCGTCTCTCGTGATGACCATGAACTTCCCAAGCCCTACTCACCTGCAGATGGGAATAGCCGGCACCAGCTGCTTGGGCCAGGTTGGCGGCACCAACAGGATGGACTCAGGGGCCGAGTTCCTCCTCTCCTCCTGCTCGCAGGGCCCCAGGAACTCCATGGCCGGGTAGATGTGGCGGGCCAGACTGGCCTTGGCTGGGACGGCGGACACAGGTGACGGGTCAGGGCTGGTCTTCCACATCTTCGGGGGAACCCCACAAGGCGAGTCCGCGGTGAGGCTGCTCAGGGCGTCCATGAGGACGGCAGAGCCGGCCGTTGGGGGGTGGCCAGCTGGGGCGCCGTCGTCACGGGGAGGCGCCAGGTGAGACGAGGGCTGTGGCGAGGGGCTCCGGGAGCGCTGGGGGGAAGCTCCGGGCAGCGGGGCACCCACGGCCTCGGCGCACGAATGCCTCCTCTTGGCACCAGGCGACGAGGAGCGGGAGGCCGGACGGGGCACGGGTGAGTGGCGGCCCAGGCAGGTGTCCTCGGCGAGGCTGGCTCGAGGTGACATTATTGGCGACGTTCTGGGGGAATAATGAGCAGGGATGTTTTGAAACTGAGGACACAGGTCGTCGGCCCCGCCGTTATTGGGCGAGACGCAGGGCGAGGTGTAGGGGGAGAAGGTGTCGGAAATGAAGCTGGCAGAGGAGCCGCTGCTAGCGGGGCTCAAGCAAAGCGGCTCGCGGTAGCCCTCGAAGCCGGGCACGGGCAAGGTGAACCTCGGGCCGGCGGCCGCCCCGACCAGCGGCGGCTCTGGCGGCAGGCCAGCATCTCTCATGCGGAGGGAACCCCCTGCCTGCATCAGTTCATGGGAAGGAGTGATTTCAATCCGAGGGCTCAGGCCCGAGGCCCTCACTGGCTGGGCCGGGCTCAGAAAGTTCTGGGGCCCTACTCTATCCGGCTCTGCGAACCGGCCGGGGGGCTCGCCAGAGAGACTACTGGTAAGGGGGCTGTATGGCTTGAGGCCACAGTCCAGGACATCGCCGGGGTATTCGAGTCCGGAGGGTGGGCTGCCGGCCTTATGCGCACTCGATTCTTCTGGAAAGAGAAGGGGGGAGGGGTCTTTTTAAGCCTCTGAAACAGCCATCCTGGGTCGGCTTCCGACCCGTCATCCACATCTTTCTTTCCCCACCATGCCAGCCCCCAAGCCACAGCCTTGGGCCCTCGTCACAGGAAGTCAGGTGCCCTCAGCCCAGGTTCCCCGACGACAGAGAACCTAGAACTGACTTCAACCTCCTCTGCTGCTTTGGCACCAACGCTGGTCACCGATGGCTTTCAAACCACTACTGAAAAGCATTCATCTATAGCCTGCCTCCTGCTGTGCAAACAAGGATGGTGGAGTGACCCAGGAGGATGCCATGCTGACTGTGGCATCCTGCATGGCAACAGACGTACACCACAAAGTCTCACACTCAGACCCCTCACTGCTGTCCCACCAACACCACTTTACAGATGAGCAAACTAAGATCCCACACATAGAACACTGCTTAGATCCAGTGCCCCAGTTCACCACATCACCACCCTCCACCTGATACCGACATGGACTCCCGCGGCAGACACCTGTGCTATTGATCTGTGCACCCCCCACACAGGTGCACACACAGCACTGCTACGGGGCAAGTACCCACTCTCATCCATCTCCATGACCTCTGCCCAGTAGAGCCCTTCCCCCCAGCTGTCAGCCACATGGGTCAGTCTTGGTTCTCATCCAGCAACACACCCTCAGTGCTCCATCACCAAAAACCAAATTCACACATCTTCTCCTGCCCAACCATCTGGCACGCTGTCACCTTCTCTCAAGTCCCTGCATTCCCACACGTGCCTCTGCAGTCTGGTCCCCATACAGCAGTCCCTAAAATTGTCCATTGTCAAAACCCAGCATAGAACCTTCCTCTGGAGCATGGCTCAGTGGCTCAAATAGCTAATGATCTGCCTGCGAGCACCAACATCCCATTTGGGTACCGGTTTGTGTCCCGGCTGCTCCACTTCCTACCCAGCTCCCTGCTTGCAGCCTGAGAAAGCAGAAGATGGCCCAAAGCCTTGAGACCTTGTACCCACGTGGTGATCTAGAGGAGGCTCTGGCGCCTGGCTTCAGATTAGTTCAGCTCTGGTTGTTGAGGCCATTTTGGGAGTGAAGCAGTGGATGTAAGATCTTTCTGTATCACCACTTTATAGAGTGAGCCTTTCCTGTAGGAGGACACTGTGACCCTAGAAGGTCAGGGAGCACAAGATTACAGTTGATTGGACAATATTTGTATGATAAACAACTGAATGGGTGCCTTTTGTGTATCCTTTGCCTGAGAACAACCCAATGACTACCTTTTGTAAACCTGATGGGATATCATTTGTATAAGAACAGTTGGGCCCTGCGGGGCAGTGGCCTAGTGGCTAAAGTCCTTGCACGCCTGATATGGGCGCTGGTTCTAATCCCAGTAGCTCCACTTCCCATCCAGCTCCCTGTTTGTGGCCTGGGAAAGCAGTCAAGGATGGCCCAGTGCTTTGGGATCCTGCACCCATGTGGGAGACCTGGAGGAAGTTCCGGGTTCCCGGCTTCGGATTGGCACAGCACCGGCGGTTGTGGTCACTTGGGGAGTGAATCATCGGAAGGAAGATCTTCCTCTCTGTATATCTGACTTTGTAATAAAAATAAATAAATCTTTAAAAAAAAAAAAAAGAACAATTGAGTGGAAAGTATGTGTATGAGAACACTTGGTGAAATATTCAAGACATAAGGACTTCCAAAGACATAGAAAGTTGATGGGTTTGTTGATGAGCTAAATACCTCCATCCTATATGACCCTCAGTGTATAAAGTTTGTTGCCCCTAATAAAATTCGGCTATTGCCCATCAGTCAGTAGTCCATGCGTGTTGTGTTATTATCCATCGCTGCAGGACAGCGACACTTTCCAATAAGAATATATCAGATTGGACTTAGGAGTCGGCAATGCCCCGTTCATGACCCCATGCCCCACCTGTCTCACTGCCCAGTGGCCCACAAGGCCCGGCTGGCCCCCGGCTGGCCCACAAGGCCCGGCTGGCCCCAGTGGCCCACAAGGCCTGGTTGACACATCTGCTACTCTCCAAGTCCTTCCTGCCTCCATGACCTTGACTGTGCCGTCCCTCTGCCTAGAATCTTTCTCCCAAGCTCTTCCCGTGGCTGCTTCCTGCAGCCTTCCATGCACCTGCTCGGCAAGTACCTCCTTACATCAGCTCATCACAAGATCACTCCCACCCCTAGTGACTTTCCTCCACTCACACCTGCTACCCGCCGACACCACACGTGACATGCACCTGCTTAGGGAATCTCGTCCTGCTACCACAGCCCGGGGGCCCCATATGGCCCACAGACAGTGTCTGTAAATAAAGTTTTATTGGAACACAGCCGCCCTTGCTCATTCCCACGGGCTGCACAGCTGACTGCAGCAGAGGTGGCAGCTGGGACACACAAGAGCATCTGTTCCCTGGCCCCTTACGCACTCGGCGACTCTGCACTTGACCGTAAGCTTGGATCCGCGGCTCTCGTGGTTCGGCATTGTTTGCCAAGCACCTACCACAGTGCCTGGCACTCTCAGGCCCTGCATAAACAGTGGCTGAGCAGCCAAGGGAACAAGTTAATGAAGGAATCATGACCCAAGGCCTGGAGGAGGGTGGCTTCTTGTCCACCTTCAGTCCTTCCTGTGGGTCCCTGCTGTGTTCTCTGTGCCTCCTGAGACTTCCATGAAGTTCCTCGTGTCTGCCTCTCCCCTCACCTCCAGCCGCACTGCTGCCACCCATTAAATGCCACGAAGATCTGGCTCGGCACAGGGTCAGGCCTGCCACCAAGCGGGACCTCAAATAAGATCTGCCGGCTGGCTGGTTGAATTAATAATGCAAGTTCAGAAATGTCCATGTGGGGAAAAAAAATCGAGATAGAAAGTCCCAAACTAAAGGCAGAAGGCAAGTCGCTCGGGCAGGGTAACATGCAGAATGAAGAGCACCTGAAACAGGGGCCTGCAGCCCCCGTAAGCCGTCTTCAAGCCCACCAAGGGGGACGGCCAAGCAGCTCCCCTGTTCACACGCAGCCAGGATGCAACACAGCCACAAAAGGCGTGGGATGCTCCAGCTGCATTGCTGGGAACGCCGCCCAGACTGGGTTTAAAGGAGAAAGCAAAATGCACAGTGTACAAAAGGAGGCTGAGAGGGCTGCGTGTACACACACACACAAGATGAATGCACCGCAGTCCCTGCTGGGCCCAGGTGACAATGGCTTCACTTGGGCAGACAGGAAAGTAGCTGGCTTGTGGATGTGAAACGAAAGGCAATTCCCCAGAGACAACCTTCCACTTCGCTGCCAGTGGTGTGGGAGTGACGTAACATGATAATGTGGTAATGAAACACCGGTCTACAAAGCAGGAAATTGAGACTGCGGCCCCACTCCACTGCTAACCAGCAGTGTGGCTTTGGAAAAGTCCCCGCCCACTCCAGGCTGCAGCACCGACTGAATCAGCCTCTGCAGATCTCTTCTTGGTGTGAGCAGCTAGGGCCTGGAGTTTTTTGGGAAGCTACTGACAAAGTCAACTTAGCTTTGAACTTGGGTGCGTGCAAGCTCGTACACACGCGCGCTTCCCTGGTAGGTAACAGCATCCGTCCCTAATCTAGCAAGAGATCAAGGGCAAATCCATGCCTGGGAGCACCCTGTAGGTCCACGGCCCTGTGACCCAACTAAGTACAGGAAGCTTGTGGGCAAAAAAACTCCGGCCTGATCAGAGGAAAAACCACATGGCACATGATGAGGGAAGCAGGCCCTGGGGGCTGACAGGGTATTGGCAAAATACGGTCACACACGCCCCACGAGGCTGGGGAACAGAAAGCCCCCGCTGGCTTGCTCCACTGAGCGGATCAGGCCTGAAGGCATGGCTGAGCCCGGCAGCACCTCCTGCATCTCTGCTTCTATGTCCCATGGCCTCACTTGGCAGCAAGCAGGGAAGCAGGGGGTAACAAATTGTGCTCAGTGCCAGGCATCGGCCCGTCCACGCACCCCTCTAAGTGCTGGGACTCTTTGTGGCTGTTCCCTGGGCTGCCACCCTTGTCACCATCTTATGCCCACTAGACAGCGGGTGAAGCCAGGCTGAAGCTCTGAATCCCGCTGTGCTCTCGGGAGGGCTTCCAGAAAGCTGCTTTCCTTACCAACTGTACGGTTCTTGTGCTAGCCCGGCACCGCCAGGAAATAGTATTTACTTAATATTTCTACTGAAATTCACTTACATGAATTTCTTTTCTATAATTTTAAAAGGAAACTTGACACTATTCCCGCAAATGGAAAATCAGTGTCACCTCCATATATAGGAGGGAGTGTAGAAACACAAAAAAAGAAGTTACTCAATTCAACTGGGACACAGTGGCTAGCCAAGGCTCGTAGCCGGGTACGGCTTGCCCACCTCACTCCACCTTGGGGTTTCAGAGCTGAGGCTCACTCACTCACACATCCCTGGGGAGCCAGGTTCGTGGACTTCTGCCTCATCCCAACACCTTGCTACCCCCACCGCATTCAACACGTCGCACGGTCAGGACTAAGCAGAAGCGGATCGAAGAGTGAATGTGAGAAAGGCTGGTGCTGCGCTGCAGCGGGTCAAGCTGCCACCTGTGATGTCTGTATCACACACGACTGCTTGTTCGAGTCCCAGCTTCTCTACTTCTGACCCAGAGCCCTGCTCAACCAGCAGAGGATGGCCCAAGTGCCTGGACACCTGCCACCGGGTGGGAGACCAGAAAAGCATTCAGGCTGTTGGCTTTGGCCTGACCCAGCCCTTGTCATTGCTTGCACTGGCTCTCGCTCACTCCCTTGCCTTTCACACCCACCTATCTTTAACAAGAAAGGAACAAAGTGTTGCAGGTGTAGGGGTAGCCTAGTGGCCAAAGTCCTCTCCTTCCATGTACCGGGATCTCACTCGGGCGCCAGTTTATATTCCATCACCCCACTTCACATCCAGTTCCCTGCCTGTGGCCTGGGAAAGTAGTCAGGGTCGGCCAAAACCTTAGGACCCTGCACCCGTGTGAGA